GGATCTGCAAGACCTATACGCTCTAAACTCCACATGTCTGGAAGGTTAAAGTCGTGGGTGAGTAGAGATATGATAGACAAATAAGATTCAGATACTTTGGATACCTGTGGAATCTTTCCCATGAGTGTCCAGCCTAAATGAGTACCAACTACAACGGGACCATCAGCCAAAACTTGTACTTTCCCATTTAAAAGTTTATCAGCCACATCCACTCCGATAAGTAGATGAATCTCAGGATCAGTTTCTTATGGGCCTTGCGGGGTTTTCATTACATTACTGCAAATCTTTTCTTGTTCTAGTACTTCAAAATTACAACTGTAATTCTCATCTAAACTAGTCAAATACACTCTAAAACGGCGATGCTTCTGTTGAGGAGATTTAAGACCACCAAATGAACTGTGAACTATTGATATCTCTCCTAAAAACTCATAGTTCAATAGCTTAACTGCTTTGTCAATAATATAAAAATGTTGTCTACCTCTATCATAAAGGGCTCTTACGATGTGTCTACCATTTTTACCCCTAAGATAAACTTGCAATGTTTATGACAGTACCCCTGTTGAGTTAGACTGACTTGTAAGGGCCTGATCCTTGAGCTGGGTACAGTTCGGATTTTCAACTGATTTTTAAACATCTGCTTTCGATTCATGTAAAGGACTTGGACACATAACCATACAATGAAATTTACTTCACATAAAGTATTTTATTCTACTATGGAACTGCTTCGAAATATGTCCCCTCTTAATGCAGGAAAAGCAACAACCAGCTCTCTTAGCTATATCCCTTTTTTCATCCAGACTCATTTTTTTCGCTTTATTGCAATCTTGAGTGTTTTTTCTCTCAAAAAATACACTTCTTTTCTTTATAACCATTCATATTTAAACTATTAAATTTTTAATTAAAAAAACTAGCAGCGGTTGGAATATCACATTTATTTTCATTAAGATTCTGCTTAGATGATCTTTTGAGAGGTTCCCTTTCATTATCAAATGAATTTCTAGCAATCGCAAGTGTCTGTTCCCCATCCACTTCTAATTTTTAAAATTTCATTTAGAACAGCTAATTTATTTACATCCCCTTTTCACTAACTAAAAGAGAACTGATATGTTGTTCCCATATTTTCAAAACATCCTCTGATAAACAACTCTTGACCAGAGGATAGAAGTTAGCTGCATATTTATCGGAGGTAAGACCTAAGGTACCTAAGGCTCTTAAATATGCATCGATCTCATCATAAAGTTTCGCTAAATTACATTTATTATGGCTCAATACTGAAGTCAACAATTCACACCCATACACTTCAATTAGTAATTCGTCTTTACCAAAATGAGACTTCATACATTCTATCACCAATGGATAATTATCTGAAGTAAGTGGAAAACTTTCCACAAGGTCACAAGCTTGTGATTTCTCTGTGGTGCTTTGAATGAGATAGATGAAACTTGTCTTCATTTGATAAACATGGGTCATCATGAATTTTCTTAAACATGCTCAATATTGTGGGGGTTGCGACAGCCCCCTTTAGCACACCTGATGGTACTTAGCACATTTTTCCTCCCACCAAATACAAAGAGAGAGCGTCGACTGTCCTGAAATCAGGGATTCAGACACCACTTACTGGCAAGATGACGTTTACAAACAAGCCGCAGTTGCTTTCAGTAGCAGGAGCGGATTATACAGATTGTTGTTGGAGTTATTGATAACACAGTAACTATAACTGTAGTATACTGAAAGAAATTAGAAAACATACATTGCATGCCTTCTCCTTAAAGCAGAAATGTCAAATTTTTGTTATACTTTTTTAAACCTGATGGTTGATCATTTTTAGAGAGCTAGATTATTTGAAATTTTTTATTGTGCAAAGTTTGCTTTTCCCTCAGTGCTGCAACCAAAAAATTGTGCTTGTTTAGATATTAAAATTTCTGTCATCCCCTACTTTTCAAGGAATAAAATGGATATTTTATTTTGAATATTTTCCCCTGCATTTTAGTATGCATTACTTTCAGTGATGAATAATAATATTTAATAAAAATGATAATATGAATTTTGTATTATCAACTTTTTGAGTTTGGAATAAAGCTCGTAATGCAAAAAATACATGATCTGTAAAAAACTGTATGCCTCGTTTTTTTAAATCCTAGTGTTACTTTGTTACTTTTTTGTATGAAGTAAAGGAAATATTGTAATCATGAAAAATTTCGGTTATCAAATTTCAATGGAAATATCCATTTTGATTAATTTTTGTTTGACATCTATACATGTAAACAGAATAATGTTTTATACTTGTTATTAAAAAAAAAGTATAAAAAGTTTGGTGTCCTTATGACAAAATTGATCAGGATATTTAATTTCAAAATTTGCAGCTTTTGCTGTCATTTTTTTCAACATTGAAATCCAAAATGCAGATATTTCGGACCTGCAATGCAGATATTCGGATATTTTATTTGTAAATAATTATCATCATACCTGGGTAAAAAGAAACAGAAGTGTTAGCAACATAATATTTTTATGCTAAATAGATAATCCTTCAAGATTGTTTCTAGCAATATATACAGTTTAACAATCAGAGCAATTACGAAAGTAAAAAGTTACTTACAGAAAGGTAAGTATGTAGAGTCATTAGGATTTTTTTTAAGCAGGAGTCGTGGAAAGTGTGCAGTGCCCTCGCCAGAACTCGAACCTCGGACCTCTTGAATGCGCACCGAGTATGCTGACCATACCACGAAGGCATGCTAAGAAGGCAGGAGAAATACCTTACAAGTTATTCAGTCATTTCCAACATCTTCAGTTTTGAAAAAAATAAATAAATGAATGCTTTCTAGAACTTACTGTTCATTTGTGCTTTTCAGATACTACTGTTTTTGCGTGCCACGGGCTTTTACTGTGACGATTCTACCTCGTGCTTTCCATATGCTTTGATTATTTTATCATGAGTATTGCTCAGTGTTCTATTCAAGTTGACCAAACGTATGCGATTCTGCATTATTTGCGCTAAAGTGATTATAGCTATTGCATATAATTCTCAGAAGAAAAGGAGGAAGTTTAGGAAAGCTGTTACTGCAGTCATTTGTAAAAGTGATTCAAAATCCTCCCAATCACAGATGAAGATGGAAAATGACTGAGTCACTTCAAGCAAAGTTGCTAAGATGATAGCCTTGGAAACATCAACTAATAACCAATTCAACACTCTTACTGCTGTTGCTACTAATGATTCAGAAATAGACTGCCAAGTTGACATACAAAATCCAGTTGAATAAAGCATGGTCATTGCTGCTAAGACCATGCCAATGCTAGGAAAAGAAAGGTTGCATCCAATAATATGAGGGAGGTAACATGGTAAGAGATAAGAAGTCTATTTACGTAGCACAATGTAAATATTTAAGCAGGAACTTTTATCAAAGACCATTATTTTTTACCCTGCTCCAAATCCTGATTATGCACTTTTTATTTTCATTAAATACAATTCAGTACATTTGGATCAACAGAAGAAATTCTTGAAAATTGTTATATGAAGATTAACTAAAGACATGAATGTGGATGAAGTTAAAAATCAAACTCTGTGAAGAAGGATAACTGGTAGTCAGAGTCTCACAGTTCATAAGGAAATTCCTAGGTATCAAGTTGAGATTTCCTGCATTTTTCATATCTCTGAAAAGAAAACCATTTCCAATCTGAGGATCAATATTATAAGATATTGAAGCAACCAGAGCATCATGATGGGTTTTCATTGCCAAAGATTTGGTCATGGGCAGATGTTCTGCAGTAATACAAGATGTTTCAAGTGTAGTCAAAATCATTTGACTTACACCCAAAGATGAAAAACTGATTTTCTTTCCTTGCAAGTTGGGCCACATGACTTCTTCAAAGTGACGTGAATTTTGCCCTGAAATTCCCAAATTGCAGGGCAAAAAGTGGACATCAACACTGACTAAACCTGCTGTAAGAGTTGCATCGATTCGAAGTAACGCACTTTGTGATGAAAAACCTGCTGCACATGCACAGAATTACTACCTGAAAGAGCTGACACGAAGAAACAGCCAGAATTTAATTTCCACATGGACAAAAATCTTGTTTCGCATCAGTAAGTTCATCGAATTTGTTGACAAGTGTAAGGTGATCAAGTCTCCACAGAAAAAAGCTGTACTTGCCCTCAGCATTGTGGAAATGATGATTAAAGTAGAATTTTAATATTCTGTTGGCTTTAAAAGATAATTTTCCCAAAATTGAATTTCTAGTAAAAACTGGTGTATGGTAGATGGTATTACCCTACTTTCAGGTATTTTCTTCTATTTCATGAATGAAATGGACTTTTCTTATGCATGTAATATACTGGCCCCCTTTTTTTCCTTTCCCTTTTTCATTACTGCCTCAACTTTTTGAGAGCTATTGTCAACAAGATTTTATTCCAAATATTATTATTATTGTAACAATTTCTCAATTTTTAACCCAAAGAAAACAAGTTATGAAGACTTTAAATTATGAAGCCAGACACGTTGCACATTTGTATGATATTTGCAGCACAGCATCATCATCTCAGTCTGTTATTGTTAACTGATTTATTATAATTTGTAGATAATTTTTTAGAAGTGACTGTAAATTTAAATGCTAAAAGATAAAAATTAATATATTTGAAATAATGAAAAAGACACCTTGTTAATGAAATAATTCAGTGTATTTCATTTTCTTTATTTTCTCTGCCATATTCATTGTTTAGTCGTATGTATGCACTTTTATGTGATTTGAAGATATAGTGTTTTTTTTTTTTTTTTTTGAGACATAGTCTACTTTCATGAATTGAAATATAAATTTAATGTAAAGGAATCCATTGACTAATTATTTTCTGCTTTATTTTTTTTTTATGAAAAACTCGTTTGAAATTTAAAAAAAAATAACTTATTGAAGAATGCACAAGATTATTAAACAATTCTTTTCTTTCTCATATAGAGAAAGGAAGAGTTTTTAATTTTTTTAATTGATGTCTAAAAAAATTTCTTATACAGCATCAAGAATTTCGTCTAAAATCAAAAAAATTTGATGAGGTAAATCAAGACTTAAGATCAGATGAACGGAGGAGGAGATATCTTACACTGGTTTGTATTTGTAAATATTGTTTACATATTCCATGTTTCTGTTTGATATTTTCTCTACTGTATAGCTTTTCTAAAAAAGGGGGGTTATAAAAACTTATTCTCTAATACTTATATATAAATTAAGGTGAAATTTTGTTATATAAATTTGGGTGGAGTTAGAAAATATTACACCTATTCCTTGATTTACACAGTATACGTTTTACATGATTTCGGTTTTACGCAGTTTAAAAATTATTGGATTTCAAAAACTTGGTAAAAATGTATATGCTGCATATTTGCAAATACATATATTTGAAGTCATTTTTGATTCTCATTCCTTTGGTAACACTGGTGGCAACAACAAGGATGGGGATTCCCCGTGTTGTAAAAAGGGAATACCTGTAGTATGTATATGTATTTTCACAAAAGTAAAGCTATTTGGTTCGTGTGAACTAATGCAGTATCAGTATTTTAGCAGCAAGGATTACATCATTTTTATCTACATATCTGAATGTTTACTAGCAAGTTTTCAACATTTATAGTTTTTGTGGCATTTTTTATAATTTATGTAAATTTTTTAAGTTTTTATAATGCCAAAGATGTCAAAAAAATCAAAAAGAAAAGTTATTTCTTTAGAAACAAAAATTAAAATATTAGATCGTCTACATAATAGAGAAAGAGTAACAGATATTGCTAAATTTTACTCCATGAATGAAACCACAATAATGACAAATAGGAAAAATGAGAACTCTGTTAGAAAAAGTGTAGCAGCTGGAACTTGCAGCAGTAAGAGCAGAATTTCATATGTAAGAGATGATAATATTGAAAATATGGAAAAGGCATTAGTGATATGGATAGAAGACCAAAATCAGAAACAGATTGCAGTTGATACTAATGCTATTACAAATATGAATTTAAAGATTTATAAAACACTTAAGAATCAGTCACCGTCAACTTCGTCAGATTAAAAAAAAGGTATCTTTTCCCCCAAGTCATGGTTGGTTTGAGAGATTTAAGCAAAGACATTCTTTACATAAGGAAAAATTGGAAAGCAGGAAGTGTGTCTGCTGATTCGGATGCAGCACAACAATATCCAGCAAAATTTGCTGAAATCATTGCCACCAACTCCTACACTTCTGATCAGATCTTCAATGCTCATGAGTCCATCATGTTCTGGAAAAAAAAAAATGCCTGAAAGAATCTATTTAGCTAAAGCTTGCAAATCAGCTAGTGGTCATTGTAATGTCTTCGTGGTTAATAAGGCACCATTTAACAAGACGAAACGAACATTTATTATAAATATGGTTCAAAGCATAATATTAAACTCAGAGCAGTACGTCGCTCTGAGTTTACTCAGAGATCTGCGTTTACAGCATAGCGAAATCTACAACCTTCCTCTTCTGAGGCTAAAACTCCCTTAAAATACATTAACCCTTCTTGGAGAAGAGCTATATGTGCCAAGCACGCTCTGTTGATCGCCAAACAGTCACCAGATACTACACCCCCCGTCGTAAGATTGTTCTTGATACTGTCAAACAAATCAATCTGTAAATTTTTGCTTCCGTAATTATTTTGTTCTGCGCTTGATTCTTCTGCCGCAGGATTAATCAACAATTCGTGTATTTCTGGAGTTATTAGGCAAGGCAGATTTAGTTTTATCAGTCACTGCAATCAATGTATCCACAAAATTAAATACATTCCTTCCATGATCTTTATGGTAAATTTTTGCTTCAATTGGTTGTCTTGTAGGGTTTATGTTTATTTTAACTAACATTTATTTTAAGTTATCTTTCTTGTCAAGCCTTTACTTTCCCCTAGAATTACCAATGCTAGAGTATGTAAATTGTAGTAGAGCGCGCAGTATATTCAAATTTAGCGGAAGTAAGTTGAGTTTAAATAGAAGGAAAACAAGATTGTAGGTGTGCTTCTTGAATTGCAAACGTGAATGTTGCTAGGTAGAATTTAAGAACCGCGCGTGTCGGCCTGTGTGCCTATCTCGGCAGATTTTGCTGGATCTCTCAACTGCTTAATTAGTAAGCTCGCTGAATCTCAGCGGTATTTTAGAATGCGGTTAGGTTAGTTTCAGATCTCAGAGCCTCGTGGATAATGGTCTCGCTGTTTATTCATCCAGTCATTATTTTTCAGTTTTACATTCTGTTTCAGTTAAATCGCCGGGTCAGCGTAGTTTGTGAGCGTCAAGTGGGCGCAGCTGTTATTTTAAAAATTGAATAAAAAGGGCTTTAAACCCTTCTTACGTGTGTGTCTAAATTCACACTTAGTAGCAGTCACTACCACAGTTGCTGACAAGTCGGGGCCACGTAATATTACAGTCTTAAAGCAGGTGTTAGCAATATTTTACTTCCCTCTCTCTCCTCTAAATTTGGAATGAGCGATGAATGTACGATCATTATCTGAGTTCCAGAGTCTACGATAACTTCGATTTTCTTTGAGTTAATAAAAACGTCTACTTTTTGCAGTGGTTGAACGATGCGTTCTGCGAATTCGGATCCTAGATAGGATGAGTCTACTTTAGCTACAATGGCTTCTTTTTTTGATGTTCTGTTTGATCTTTTTTTAGTTTTGAGATCATCCTTTCCCTCCCTATTTACTGCAGTTTCGTTCTTTCTTCTTTTGTTTGAGCAATCTCTTGAGATGTGTTGATAGTTTCCACAAATATAACATTCTTTTCTTCACGCATGAGATCCTTCGTGTTTTGAATATTCTTTTCTCATGGGTGGCGGAATATATTTATTTTGTATACATGTTGTATCCGGAAATCTCGGTGATCGCTTAATTCCATTTTGGACTTCTTCGAAAGATTTTCCTTTGGCCGTGAAATAAATATCACATTCTGTAGCTAATTCTTGCGGCTTCAGCCATTTATTTCCTTGGCGTATTGTGATGTGTGCAGCTGTTTCTTCATCTAAAGCTTGGAATAATTTATCCGAAATAATTAACTCCTTGAGTGTTTCGAAATCCTTTACTTCTCTTGACTTGCAGTAATAGTCCCATGTAGCTGTTAGTCTTGAAGCGAACTGGATATGCGTTTCGCTGCAATATCGTTTTAGTTCTTCTGAAGTTTTCTAAACAGGTTTGAGGAGTAGGTTGGTATTCCTTCAGAACAAGAATTTTCACTTTTTCGTAATTTTGCAGATCTTCCTCCTCTATATAAACAAGAACATTTGAAGCTTCTTCTCCAATTAATTTCAATAAGATTTCCAATTTGTATTCTTCGGAAACCTTCTTGTGCTTAAATGCTCTTTCAATAGAATTATAAAAATATATTCCATGCTTCTGCTCTCTTCGATGCTGGTATAGTCAGTGTTTCTACTCCCTTGATCAGCTTGTCGAGGGAAATTTCGGTTTCTCATCCTGTGTTTTGGATTGAAGGTGTCGGACTTCTACTTCCTTCATTTTGAGTTGCTCGAATCTTCACTAATTCTATTTCGTGTTCTCTTTCTGTTCTTCATTTGTATTCTTTCCATTTCTTCTTTTTTTCTATTCTCCACTGTAGTAATCAGAATTTCTTTCCGAAATCAGCATCTTCGATGTATTTCTTGCTATTTTGGAGTTTGTGTTTCAGTTCTACCAGCTTCAAATCTCGGTATGCTTTTTCGCCAATTTCTTATAGAACTGTTACTAAATCTTCTTTCATTGCATTTTTCAACATTTTCTTTTATTCTCATTTAGAATCAAGCGTTTTGAACTCTCGAATAAATAATTCTCATGTTTCTACTCTTTTTTGCAAATGCGCACTTCTTTCGTGAGTTAGGCTTAACTTTACTCCTCTTCCATTTTCAACGCTCTAAGCTTTTAACTTCTCTAGTGATCTCGTAAGAGAACATGTTGTAATGGCTTCGTGGCTCAATAAGGCACCATTTAACAAGACGAAACGAACATTTATTAAAAATATTATTTGATTTTTTTTTTTTTTTTTCAGTGGCAGGAATTACATTTGGAAAATGTCCACCTATTCATAATCACTATCTGAAAAAAATCATCGCTTTCGCTGTCTTGCATTATCACCATTATTGTAACATTTTTTCAACGCTACTATCATTCTTTATACATTACTAATCCACAAGCCGACGTATACTATGCAATAGGGAAAACATATGACCAGTCCCGCCAAAAGAACCACAAAAACCAACAAAACTTGGCAAATTGCCAATCAAAGCTGTATATTTCCTTTCATTTCGTGCAGGCCAAGTAAAACCATGATAAAACAAATCGTACTGACAGATTCTGCTTTGCCCGAGTTTTCTCGGGGTAATAATTAACTGCAATATATAATAACCCAAGATAACTCGGGATAATCAGGTATACTTGCTGTTGCACGTGGTTGCGGCTGTGTGCAACAACAAACTATGCGTATTGGAATTTGCTTTTAAGGGTGAATTCATAACATGCCATAAGAGCCAATTTTTGATAACAAAAACATTTAATCACGTCACAATATTAAAACTTAATTACTACAGTCGATAGACAATCACGTTGGAGGAAAACGAGCGACCAACCGCTCCGACGACGAGACGTGACTGTGTGCCGCCGAAATCTCCTTCGGTTACAGTTAGTGATAACGGCGCGCGGTTGGCGAGTACAACACGTGTTTACAGAGTCGCCACACTACTCTTCCTCCAGTGGCAACGAATTGAAGGTACCGAGGGTTAAATCAGATTCTACGTCCGGAATGTGTATACTGAGGAGCACTCGTTTTCTGGGATCCAGGCACAGGAACTGACGTAGTAGCAGATGTTGGTGTAGACCCAATAGATGAAGGTGCCTTCGAAGGAGGTGGGACTGATGTACCAGTCTCGACAGTTTGTGGTGCTAAGATAAAGGCTGGTTTGAGACGATCAAGGCTCACCACTGTCTCTTTGTCGCCGATTAGTATCCGATAGTTCTTGGATGTGCGACTTAGGACGAGGTGTGGGCCTGTATAGGTAGGCTCCAAGGACTTTTTTGATGCATCACACCGTAAGAACACATGTGAGGATGTAGCGAGTTCTTTAGGCACAAAC